TGATCAAATAGGCGGCGAGCGCCGTGCACCACAGGTAGTTGGACTGTTTTCCGGCGTCAGCGAATAGATATGGGCGTCGTGGCTTTACATACGCCGAGTTCTTTGGGTGAATCCACTAGGTGCCGACATTGTGCTCTTAGTTCAAAAATAACCAAAGGAAGGTGTACTATGATAAAGGGCCAAATGTGAATTGCGTTGATAATAGATAGCTATGTGACCCTCCTACATGTTCCCGCAAAGGACCTCACAGAGATACTAAGATCCAGAAGTGAAGCTTGATTACAGCCTTAATGTCTACTGTATGTGCGTGTCGGTCGCACTGTCTTGGTGCCTAGACAGGAATGCAAAGCGTGGATTCTGCAACAGCCCCAGAATGCAACTGGCCATTATCGATTCGCTTAATCGTGTAGTATTTTTCTGCGCTGATCGAGACAATCTCGTATGGCCCCGAAACCACCCCGCCTGATGACTGGACATAGACGATTTCTCCAACTGAGTATAGGGGCGCTGATGGGAACTGATTTTCTCTAGTTAGGTAGCTAACACTTCGGCATTTTGGGACATTGGTACTATACCTCGGACTGGTCTTTGTATTCATCAACACGGCTGCGAAACTTTCCTTTAGCATCTTCGAAGAAAGTAGTGACATCCTGTAAGCAGACTATTATTAGCTAGCTCTGTTCCGATCAAAGCAGGGTTACTCACTTCATCACTCTCTTCGGAATCGTCGGGTCTAGTTCGCTGGCGGAGATCCTCATCCGAACCCATTGCGATGTATAGTAGCGTGAAGTAAGGCACAGAACAAAAGTGGGCGAGCTAGTTGAGGCACATGCAATGAAGCTTACAAGGTTTTCATAGTTAAGGAAGGTGGTAAAGAACATAGGGTCGCGGACCAGACTTATAAGATACCTCCTACCCCTCCAACGGGCCATCCCGTCACGGGCCATCCCGTTGCAGGTCACTTATACTTAATTAATTTAAGTACCTTGTCGAGATGACGAGTAGCTAATGAGTAGTAGAGCAAGTACCCTGCTTGAAGGAGTAATCTATTGATACAGATGAAGTCTTATAATAGGTCGTGACACCTGGTGGATGGGCGCATGCAACAAGTACAAGTATACACCGTTTAAAACTTCCCAATGAACAGGGGCATTTTAGTAGCAATCTTTTTTTAAAAACCTCAAGACTATCAAATAGATGAGCCTAAGTCTATATGAATATAGCCTCCATCTGTGCTGCTTTACCAAGTGGTATCATGATAAACACCGGCGTTTCCCAGCAACTTGATGACTGCTAATTTTATCCCTATTACAAATTGTTCATACCAAACTCCGAGCATGCCTCGTTAAAAAAACAAGTCATTATGCGTCAACGCCAGATTAGAGCGACCGAACCGAACCCTAATCGTAGATATCCTCATCCATGTCCTCAGGGGCAATGTCATCCACGGCATCCTCTTCATCAATCATATCTTCGTCGTCACCAATGTCACTCTCGGTATGGTTCGAAAGTACCTGGATTTTGTTACCGACGAGAACAACCCTTGCTGTCTCCCCGTCCCTGACGGCGCCGCGGAGAATCAAGACAGCAAGGCGATTTAGAACCTCCTTCTCGATGAGCCGTTGCAGTGGCCGAGCGCCGTATGCCGGGGAATAACCGGCGTTGCCCAAGTAATCTTTGACTTCGTCGGACACTTGAATTACGACTGTACGATTGTTGTCTTCTAACCGCTTCTGGATCTCGCTTAATCGGAGGTCAACGATCTTGCGTATTTCGCGTCTGGTAAGGCGATTGAAGATAATGATCGAGTTGATGCGGTTGAGAAATTCCGGAAGGAAATAATTGCGTAGCGAATTCATGACGAGTTCTCGAGTCGTGGCGTCGATTCTGCCATCGCGACCGGCGGGACGAGCAAGATACTCTGCACCTAAGTTAGACGTCATGACAACAATGCAATTCTTGGCATCGACAACACGCCCTTGGCCATCAGTGATGCGGCCGTCATCCATAAGCTGGAGGAGGACAGTTAGGATCTCCTTAGCGGCCTTTTCTACTTCATCAAAGAGTAGGATAGAAAAGGGCTTTCGGCGTAAGGCCTCCGTTAACTGACCGCCAGCGTCATGTCCAACATATCCCGGAGGCGCGCCGATCATCCTGCTGAGGGCATGGCGTTCCTGGTACTCAGACATGTCGAAGCGAATCATTGCCTTGGGGTCATCGAAGAGGAATTCGGCTAATGCTTTTGTAAGGAGAGTCTTGCCTGTACCCGAAGGGCCACTGAAGAGGAAGCTAGGGGGTTGGTTTGGGTTACTGAGTCCGGAACGTTGCAACCTGATGGCATTCGATACCGCTTGAACTGCTTCCCTTTGCCCAACCACAGTGTTGCCAAGGACTCTCTCCATGTGAATTAGTTTTTCCTTCTCAGTCGTCTTAAGTCTCGTAACCGGAATACCGCTCCACCGAGACACTATTTCGTTGATTTGGTCTGGGCCGACGATATCTGTAATCATCGAGTTGCCAATATTGTCAGGATTCTGACTGAGAGCAGCATCGGCAGCAGCCTTCTCTTTCTCGAGTCGCTTGATGCTTTGTTCTTGCTCGGGAATAGCGTAGTATGTAAGATCAGCAGCCCGAGCGTGGTCACCCACTCGCGCCGCATCTTCGGCCTTGACCTTGAGTTGATCAAGCTTCACCTTCGCCTCCTGAATTTCCTTGCCACGTTTCCTTTCGCTCTCATACTTCTCGCGTAGGGGTCTCAATTCTTCTTCGACATTCTCTGCAGTTTGTTTGGCAATCTCAAGTCGTGCTTTAGAAGCATCGTCCTTCTCTCTGGATAAGGCGTGGATCTCAATTCGCAATTGTCGTAATCGTCGCTCAAGCGAGTCGATTATTTCCGGCTGAGACTCTCTAGCAACGCGCACGGCGGCAGCAGCCTCATCTATGAGATCGACAGCAGAATCGGGAAGACGTCGGGAAGTAAGGTAGCGGCCAGCGAGATTCGCAGCTGAGACGATAGCGCTATCTACAATAGTCACACCGTGGTGAACTTCGTATTTCTCCTTCAGACCTCGTAGAATAGAGATGGTCTCGGGAATGGTGGGCTCCTTAACCAGCACTTGTTGGAATCGTCGTTCGAAAGCGGCATCTTTCTCGATATACTTTCGGTACTCGGCGAGGGTGGTAGCACCGATGCAGTGTAGCTGACCGCGCGCCAGCATGGGCTTCAGGAGATTGGCAGCATCCATACCGCCCTCACCGGATGCCCCGGCACCCATCAATAAATGAATCTCGTCGACGAAGAGAACAATCATCTCTTTTGATTCAGAAATCTCTTTTAAAACTCCCTTCATTCTCTCTTCAAATTCGCCGCGATACTTGCTTCCGGCTACGAGAGCACCGACATCCAAGGACATAAGTTTGCAAGCTGCAAGGTTGTCTGGAACGTCTGCATTAACGATTCGTTGAGCTAGGCCTTCCACGACGGTGGTTTTGCCAACGCCTGGCTCACCGATCAAAACAGGATTATTCTTGGTTCGTCGTGACAGAATCCGAACCACCCGCCTGATCTCTTCTTCTCTTCCTATGACGGGGTCAATTTTACCCTCCCTCGCCATAGCAGTCATGTCTATGGTGAATTTGGCCAGATTCTCATTTTCCTCCTCGGTATCGGCCGTCTTGGAGTCCACTCGCTTCGTTCCACGAATAGCCACAACAGCATCCTGAATGAGCTTTGGTTTGGGAACGTTGGCCTCCTTCAGGGCGTTCGCTACGGTGGGGTCCTCAGACAATGCGCTGATTAAATGGTCCACAGCAATATAACTGTCCTTTTGTGTCTTTTGCATCTCGTTTGCCTTTCTCAGGACAGAGTGGAAGGATGCGGCCATGGCCACAGTCTCAGGCGGTGGATCCTGCGACGGTAGGCGGACCAGAGTCTTTTTCAGTGCTCTGTCGAAAAGTTGAGGGTCGCCACGAGCTCTCTCTACTACTTGGCGTAAGAGACTGGTATTGGGCGGAGGATTATTTTGCTGGTCCTTGGACTGGTCCGGGGGAGGATCCAGGAGCGAAATGGCTAAGTGAAGAGGTAGAAGCTGTGTGTGAGCGTATTGTTCGGCGAGGGCCATGGCATCTTCCAGCGCCCTCTTGCCCCGCTCTGTGAATTCCATGCGTGAATTCATGGTGTTGTGCGTGGAACGTGTGTGGTTGTGTGAGGCGATGACAGGATAGGGGTAGGAGTAGGGGTAAGGGGAGAAGGAGGGGTAGAAATCAATAAGGCGATAGAGGTATAAGTGAGACTCGGGAAGCTGTCTTGGATGTGGTTCTTATATGCAACTTCTCTTCGAAGTATCGTTGTTATCGTTGTTGAAGATTCTCACAGTCGCGGGAGTGTGTTACCTCGACGCGTGTATATATTTTGTTTCGAGTGTTTGTTTGTTTGTTTGTTCAATGAAGAGAAATAACGATGAGCGGCAAGGTATTTCTCGAGATGATGAGTCGGATTTATATCTCGACTTTACTGTGCTTGTTGTGGTGGTGGTGGAGAAGGTCGACCCGTGAGCAAAGCAAGGCAACGCATGATATGATGCCCGTATGATGTGTGAAGTTCCCAGTTTCTTCTCGTAGCATTGAGCTATATCATTAGGCATCACTCCCAGCTTCTCGATGCTTGGGGAAGCTTCCACCAAAACCTGGCGGAACCTGGAAGCTTCGATCATTATACTGGGGCCAGATGGGGTAAACTGGAGTCCAGGTGTTTGGCGCAGTTTTTGGTTGGTTGCTAGCCTGACGGGCTGAAACAGACTGTCAAGCAGCCAATTGGCAGCATAAAACATGGAAGCTACGAAACAGTGTATTTAACGCCACTTAGCGCAGCATATGCCCTATAGGGAGGTTAGGGAGGCTAATCATGCCGTTATAAAGATTCTACAAACACCATCTTGACGTTACCTCGGTATAGAATTTTATACGTAAAAAAATACATTAATCTAACGAAATACTTATGCTCTGCTAGCCCTGAATCGAACTGGTGATCCCTCGGCAATCAAGCAACTATTGCAACCGAACGCGTTAAACCAACTACGCAGCTGGGAGATATCCACAACTTTTAAGAATACAGTATATATATATATATATACATACTATCCCTTTAAGCTCCTATTCAGACAGGTTAGGTTATCGCGTAGGGAATATGGAGAATCGAGAGAACAATGTTTGAATCTAAGAGGCGGTACTAATGATGGAAACAACTCTCTAGCCAGCTTCTTAATAGGAAGAACAAGGATTGGACTAAGAATTAGCCTCGTCGATGGACAGAATCGGTGAGCCGAAGCATATAAATTGTAATGTGTGTATCATGGGATTCCGTGATAACCTCGTCAGGAGGTAGAGGGAACACATAGAGAAGAGTCCCGGCGACAGTAAAGCAACTATGCGCGACAGAGGAACGAATAAAGTTAAGGCTGACTAGTGGTTAGGCACTAGAATCAATCAGCTGGAGGCAGATACTGACGAACCCAAAGAGTAGCTCGGTATGGTAAAGAGTGCTGAGCAGCCCTAGTTAACTCCTTGCGACTCCTGTCGTGGACGAAAGTGGCACTATTGTAACATACGGTGAAGCCAGGGGCAACTCTAGTATATCGTCTTTCTTCTCCCCTTGTCGCAGTGCGACTCCAGTACCTGCGTTTCTTATTCCAAACTGCATTCGTTCGTCATCGCTGCCGATTTCGAGCTCAGTTTGAGCCCCTCATCAAACCGAGACTTTCTTACTAACAACGACAGTAAGTAGTTACCTGATAACAATTTGAAGAATATCGTCTAGGCTTCGCATATTGTTAGGTGGTTCTACAGGCCTACAGGGCCCACCACACAACTTCTACACTACAACGCACACTTCTCGAGGCACAATCGCAGCGATTACGACACTGTTTTTACCCGCCCACCTCCCTTATAACTAGCAGAAAGAGATGGATTGATAGCTGAGATAGCGGGTTGTGTTTTTAGTTTTTGTTTTTTGTTTTTAGTTTGGGCTGTTTTAGGCTAGTCTACGAGGCCTTATCGCCCTAGTTGCGAAGGCTTACCGCGATACCTGTGGCTTTTACGCCTAGCTATCGACTTATCTGCGACTCGTAGATTAGCCTACTACGCTCACGCTCCCCCAATACAAGTTCTACCTACTGCGATTATAGTGCCCTGGAGTGTGCTGTAGATGGCTGTTTAGAGCTCCTTGCCTCAGCTGCCTAAGTCCAAGACTAAGGTCAACGCCATGATAGTCCTTTGATTAGCACAGATATCTGGAACAGCTCTAACTTCGCGCGACGCATTCCCGCAGAGTTGCCGCACCACTACAATAAGTCAGCAGGCACTGTTATACCGAGTGTTTTAATATTGCATTATGTTAGTCGTAAATATCTCCCAGTAGCTCGGCTGTAATAGTTGTTAACAAGCGATCACCTATTCGATTCAGGTCCAGGAGAGTCTAAATTCCTGTTCATCAGGCCGAGATCAGGCTTTTTGCATATATTGCAGTTGATTTTATACCTCCAGATAAACCATGAACTATTATTTGAAGCTTGATTTTTTCTCATTGCTATGGCAAACAATAATATCAATAAGCTTATAAATGCTGTGTTTTTTTTTATTAAACAAATATGTCATAGGACAGTACTACATAGTTTACATATGGGGAGCTTATTCCAATCGCCGGATTATCTGGGGCCCGACAACGAGAATTACCCAGCTGGCAACAACTGCAGCGCACCCCGATAGCTAATACCCCTGCACCCGTAAAGTACAAGCCAGACCAGGGTCGCGCATCAGTAAATTTTGAGTGACGAGACCGCCGAAGAGCTTCGCCGGTTCAACGGACTCCGCCCCCTCCATAACAACCTCACACACCACCAAACCCCACGATGGCGATGCGGATAAGTCCGCTAACAGCCCAATTGGGCAAGCTGTCCCTCGGCGGCGGCGCAACCCCTAGAACGAGCATACGCCCTGCGTCCTCGGCGAAGCGGCGGAGGGCGAGGGGCGAGCGCATCGAGCCCAGCTTCGAGCCCGGCCACGGCGAGAAGATCTTCGTCTTCAACCACTTTGTCGACGGCATGACGGTGTACTCGCACAGCCCGGTGCTTAAGGTGTGTCTCTGCACCATCCCATCTCACCCATCCCATCCCATCCCCGACCAACCCCCAGAAAAGAAAGACAAAACCTTCCCGAAGGGCAATTCGTCCAATTTCCAGCTCTACTCTGAATATTCACTAATAATTGAACCCCCCCCGCGCAAACAGGCCAACCACGCCTTCCGCCAGATCCCCTTCAACGGCAAGAAGCTCCGCCCCGCGAAGCTGCGCAAGGACTTCTGGCGGCCGATGGCCATGATCCAGTTCCCCGAGGGCCACGGCGAGGTGGGCCGCAGCGTGTTCCAGCGGCTGCGCGAGTGCAAGACGCTGCACGAGCTCTGCTGGGACGACAGCCTGCTCTACGGGCCCTCGGGCCGCACCCTGTCCACCCGCGCCCGCGGCCGCCGCCTCAACGACCAGCGCGCCAACACCATCGCCGACATGGCCGCCGTGCTCGGCGGGCTCGGCAAGGGGAACCGCATCGTCGTCGAGAGCGACCCCGCTGCTGCTGCTGCTGCTGCCCCTGCTACTGCCGCTGAGGGAAAGGGAGAGGGAGAGGGGGCGACGGCTACGGCGGCAGCAGCAGCAACAGCAGCGCCGGTTTTAAACGAGGAGGGGAAGACGCTGCTCCCGGCTACCGTGTGGTGGGCGAATGGCCTGGACAGAAACTACGCCAAGAAGTGGACAAAGAACGTCAGGCACGAGCTCTTCGAGCAGGCCGTTCTCGAACGGCTCCAGTCGAGTCAAGAACGGGAGGCTTTAGAGGGCGAGGGGGGCGAGTCACAGAGTGTACCGGCGGAGCTGGCCGCAGAGCAGGAGCTTACAAAAGGCGCCGAGCAGAGCCAGAGCCAGAGATTATAAATATTTATTGGCCAGCAGGCGGGCAGAGTCTGCCGCTCATTGCAACGCTCCCAGCTGAGTATTACCCGTCATCTTCCTCTTTACCATGTATATCTAAGAGAGGTTGAGGGGGTGAAGGTGCTACTACTTGTAATGTAGTGTACTAAGTCATATACATCTGTACCATAGCCCATCCCAAAAGGAACAACGAACACTATATCATCTCGGGCTAGCAGGACACTAGCTAGAATTCCAGAGCAAACGATTTCAGATACTCGTAGTGTGGGGTATTCTCCTCCACGCAGGCTCTGATGATCTTCTGCCCCTTCTCGCCGTACTTCTGTCGCCATTCCTCGTTTTCAGATTCTTCGGTGACAGGTTTCTGTGTTTGCACTAAGTTAGCCGCGGCGAAGAGCAACAATGGAGTATCCAGGGACGTGGGATATATACCTTCGGGCAAGTCCTAGCAGCAAGCCCCTTGCTGTTGATGGCGTCGTTGTGCCATCCGTTCCACTTCGCGAACGCGTCCGCGACGCGCTTCTGGTTCTCCTCGTCGTCCCACTGCAGCATGTCCGGGTCGAACGGGATGTCCGTCTGCTCGCAGAAGGCCCGGATGGCCGCCTCGGGCTGGTCGAGGAGGTCGTCGGCGTCGAGCACGGTGATGGAAACCTCGCCTTTGCCTGTCTTGGCGCCATTGGCTCGGCCGGCCACGGATGGGCCCACGAGCCCCTGCTCTCGCAGGTAGTCGAATAGGCGGCGGAGCTCAAGGTATCCCGACTCGCTCGGCTTGAAGTGATCCCATCCCGTCGTTTCGGACAGGGGAGCAGAGCAGCAACGAACGTATGAAGGAATACCTCGTCGGGGATGACGAATGAGGAATGTCCAGTGGAACTTCTTCAGGATATCTAGAGGGATAACTGTTGGGTTGCCAGTGGGATCAGCGCTTTGCCTTTCGGATCGGCTGGTGCCATTAACACCATTGGTGCCGTTAGTATAACTGTGGCCGTTAACCCCATTGATTTGAGAATGGCCATTCGCTAGGTTGCCATTCGCCAAGTTGCTATTGGCGGGTTTGCTTAGAGATGGTGCAATTGACGCGGCTCCGCTGTTCGGAGGCATTAGGTAATACGCCATGTCTTTGATGAAGACGCGCTTGCCCTACTTCATTATTAGCTCTGAGCACAAGACTTATTTGTGTTTTATACATATGTTTGGCGATGTAAAGAGGAGGGAAAGGCGAAGTGTAGTGCGAGACCCAGAAGTTGCATTTCCGGGGGACCAGGGAGAAAAGTATTCATGGAGAGAGATGTCTAACCTCACTGCCATCCCGGTCAAGCCTATCGACGACATCTTGATATGTTGTCTTGGAGAATCCACTGCTGATTCTTCCTGCCTCGTCGTCGGCATACCGCTCGCCCAGCCTCTCGGGGCCGTAGTAGAAGGCATCTCCAAACGGTTCGTGGGCGCATTGGAGGGTATCCTGACGGGTCATAAACACCTATGTTTACCCGGTCAGGATTAGCATGTTCCAAGGTAGATCGCATATTGCGTGATCAGCATTGGATACTGACCCTCTCGAAAGCCGTCGAGCAAGCCCGAGGATGGGTAGCCACAAAAATAGGCTTTTGGGACATGGTGATGTGATCTGATGTTATCAGGCGATCCCCTGATGTTGTAATTGTTTCACAAGGGAGCGTCATGATATAGAGTCTTAGGGTCTTATCCGCTCAATATAATTATAGCGCACCACGGAGGAAGTAGTTGATACGTGAGCGCATTGAACAAAGATGTCTCATTTAATACCAATAGGCCTGCGAGAAGAGTAAGGTGAAGAAAGTAAGGTGAAAGCATGAGAGACTCCTGAGCTATGCTAGCATTCGATTGAGAAGGGGATCCTAGCTGTAATATGAGGTACAGAAGGTTCTGCTTATCTTATGCACGTACTCGCCATCTCACATCGAGTACCAATCGCGATACAAGCTGACAACAAGGACAGTACATAATAGTAATACCTGAACCTTTGAAAGAATACGTCATCTACCTTACAATGCTACCAGAAGGCGCCTCCTCGTAAGTAGCAACGACCTATAATAACTGCGGGTCGCCCCATATCCGCGGTGTAAGTGCCTTGCG